CACCTTGATCGCCATGTGTAAGTCCTTGTTGGTGGGATCATGGGTTTCCCAGAATGCATCACAGAGAGATGTGTAAGATGTTTTTCTTTTATCGTATGTGACTTTCACTGCTTCAGTGTGCCCTGTTCTTCCTTCACACACTTGTGTGAAAATACATATATATATATATAGAATTTATAATTTCTTTTGACAGAATTAATTTGTATAGTCATCTTCAAAGATGTTGATAATAGGGATATATACCTCTCTGTATGTAGGTATAATTGTGTATGGAAAGAAGGTTGAAGTGGTGTGTGTACAATATACAAGTTAAGGGTATAATTGACGTGTGGAATAAAAATAAAAATTAATAATCAAACTACTAAGTATGTACACTGAGAAAATATGTGCACTGAGGTTACTATGTGTGTGGAAATAGAATTTCCCTATGTATTGAGATAAAATCAAAACTTTTAGGGTAAATTACAAATACACCTCATGTAGTTTGCTTAAAATACAGATTGTTTTTTGTGACTTAGAAAATTACAAGTATCCCATTGTTAGATTTTTTTTATTTAACATAATTAATTAAAAAAATAAAATTTCTAACCGTTCTCTTATACAATAATAAAATTACACGAACTATTAATTGAAATAAATTTATGACATTATTAAAAGCTATTAATTGACTTGAAGATTCATTAATAAAAGATGTCATTTGTTATGAAATTAAAAGTTTTAGGGGATGTAATTTCTAGAACTATAGTAGATAATTTATATTTTAAGTAAATCTTAGAAGGTGTATTTATAATTTGTCTAAATTTTTAATTTGAGTGTGATGTGAACTAAATAAAGAGTGAGGAGTAAGTGTTTACTAGGGTAGCATTTGTCGGGCTGGGTCGAGTTCGAGTTGGGCTAACACTATATAATAAGGGACTTTTTTGTCTGTTCAAACCCGATCCGACCCTATCCTAACATCGGACCTCTACATCTACCAAAGCTCGGCCCAAAAAATAATTATAAATTTCAAACCCAACCATTGGCTATATATTAAAAAAAAGTTAAAAAATATTCCATAATTAAATTCAATTACACATTTTATTTCTTAAATAAATATCTTGATATCATTACAAATTAAAGAATTTTGTGTGTAAATTGAAGAATTTTTTAAATAAATCCATAAATGTAAGTTTCAATAAAGCAATAAAAATAAAGTTTAAATCTTAACAAAAAAATATATTTTTTAATATATTATAATTATTAATTAATTAATTAATTAAATAACTGATCGGACTGGGTTAAAAATATAAATTCTAAGCCCGTTCTATTAATATATCGAGCTAAAAATGTTGGCCTAATCCGGCCCTATAGACTAAAATAATTTTCTTAAGGGATTTTTGGTGAGTAGCCCCTTCCATGGGGCCTATTTTGTCTCAAGCCCACGGATGAAAACAATGGCCCCAAAAGCCCTCAATTAAAAAAATAGCATGAATTGACTGAAATGCCCATCCATATATAAGGGGGGAAATATGAAACAATTACACCGTTTCTCTCCCTTTCCTCTGTTTCATCGATTGAAAACCCTCCTCTCCTCTGAATATCATCATTCGAAATCCCCAGCAACGTTTGTAACCCTTCTCTGAGTCTCATTACTCTCGCTCTCTGGAGCTACTTCGTTACAGTTTTGTCGATTGAAACCCTAGCAAGGTTACAGGTTCGTCGCTTGGTTTGTCGCTTGGGCTCGAATCAAACTTGGCATTACGCTTTACTCTCTCTCTTGGACACACATTTTACAGGTGATTTTTTCGTCTTTCTGCTAGGTTTTCGATATTATGAAGTCTGCGTGGGTTTGTTTTCATTTTGGGAGTGGTGTATGAGATTACGTTGGGTGAGTAGAATTTGGGATTTTTGGTTGGACTAAGGATCATCTGTTTTAAAAATTTTATCATTATCTTAGAATACTTTAAATTACTAAATCATGTGAGAATGTTTAGGTTTAAAAATTTTGAAAACTAATGTAGTTATTTCGGAATTACAGAGTAAAATTTTACTTTAACTCTAGCCTTTGCTCATTACATTTTGATTTCTGTAGTGTTTTGGTCTTGCAATTTCAATGCTTTGAAATTCACTTGCTTCATGAATTTTTCAGAGTAAAATTTTACTTCCAACCAGAGTAAAATTTTACTTATAATGAGAGTAAAATTTTACTTATTACAGAGTAAAATTTTATTTTAAATCTAATGAGAGTAAAATTTTAATTATTACAGAGTAAAATTTTACTTTAACTCTAGCTTTTGCTCATTGCACTTTGATTTTTGTAGTATTTTGGTCCTGGCATTTCAATGCTTTCAAATTCATTTGCTTATAATGAGAGTAAAATTTTACTTATTAAAGAGTAAAATTTTACTTTAACTCTAGCCTTTGCTCATTACGCTTTGATTTCTGTAGTGTTTTGGTCCTGGCATTTCAATGCTTTCAAATTCACTTATTTATAATGAGAGTAGAATTTTACTTAATACAGAGTAAAATTTTAATTTAACGCTAGCCTTTGCTCATTACGCTTTGATTTCTGTAGTGTTTTGTGCCTGCAATTTCAATGCTTTCAAATTGACTTGCTTCATGAATTTTTCAGAGTAAAATTTTAGTGTTGATTGTGGAATTATTGTATGTTATATCATGCACCAAATCATAAGAGATGAGCCTATTGCAAATTCTATGGAAGAGGATGAAATTAACAATTTTCGAGCGTCAATAGTGCATCAATTTTTGAATGATTATCCAAAAGCATGGACTGAGGAACAGTTCAACCTCAAAAAAAAAAAAAAAATGGGCAAGAGCTAAGACCTTAAGGATGACAATGTGGACAAGTTCTGGGGAACTACTGTGAATGATTTTTGTAATTTCGATTTTTGTAAATGAAAGAACGGTGAAAAAGTAATTGTAAGTGAAAGAATACTAAAAGAGTATTAGATAGTAGATGCTATGTCTATTGTTCTAGTAAATTTTACTGTAGTTTGGTGATTATTATACAAGGATATTTGTTTTGACTGGGAATGAATGTTGTTTTGGATAGAATACAATGATACAGGTAGAGGCTTAAATTTTTTTTGACTGAATGTTGCTATAAATGTTGGAATGAATGTTGCTATGAATTTTGTTTTGACTGGGAATGTAAGTGAAATGAATGTTGCTATGAATGTTGTTTTGAGTGAGAATGAATGTTGATGATATATGTAGTTGTGTTGTTAGATTTTTTTTGCACAAAGATTACATGATGATCATCAGGGGAGTTTGTGTGTTGTGGATTTTGGTGCAAGTTGGAAATGTTTTTCTAAGGGGACTAACATATTTTCTAAAATAAATCAAAATTTTACTTTGAAATGAAATAAAATTTTACTCTGAAATGAAGTAAACTTTTACTCTGCATAAAAATAAAATTTTACTTTATATTTTGAAAGATGAGTAAATCATTGCACTCTGTATCTAAAAGTAAAATTTTACTCTGCATAAAAGTAAAATTTTACTCTAAAATAAGAGTAAAATGTTACCAGAAGAATCTGAAAGTAAAATTTTACTCTGCATAAATGTAAAATTTTACTTTGAAATAAGAATAAAATGTACACTCTGAATCTAAGAGCAAAATGTTACAGCCGGAATAAGTAAAATTTTACTCTGTACAAAAGTAAAATTTTACTCTGAAAGCGAGTAATATTTGGACTCTAAATCTAAAAGTAAAATTTTACTCTGTACAAAAGTAAAATTTTACTCTGTATGAAAGTAAAATTTTACTCTGAAGGGCGAGTAAAATTTGGACTCTAAATCTAAAAGCAAAATGTTACTCTGCACTAAAGTAAAATTTTACCCTCCATAAAAGTAAAATTTTACTTTGAAATAAGGTAAAATTTTAATATAAAAGTAACATTTTACCCTGAACATAGTAAAATTTTACTGTGAAACCACAAGCTCCTCACACCCATAGACAACCATTCAACGACAAAACAAATCAGAAACTAGAACAGACAACCATTCAAGAACATAGTAAAAATGTCTTTTATTGCAATGTCTCCTGACAAATCTAGTCTAAAAGACTATACTATTATTGCTATGGACTACTTATTGCAGAAGAACTGCATTATTTTCATACTTCTATTATAAAATCAATAATGTCTTTCACGGCAATGCCTCCTTGCAAGTCTTCCTATTATGACTGTACTTCTTGCATCTACCACACTGTACTCGTCTTATCTTCTCATCCCTAGATGGGATCCTATTCTTCCTTGGCCTACCAAGTGGCTTCTTACAAATTGGAGGAAGGACAACAAGATCATCCATAGCTACAAGAGGTTTCTCAACAGTGGGTATTGGATAAATGGACTCAGCATAGCAATCTTTGAACTTGCTAGTGTAATAAAATGGTTCCATATGTGCACACAAATCACCCCCGCTTTTTTGGATAGCAGTCGCCGCGTGAGCACAAAGAAATCCATTCAATTGCCATTGGTAACATGAGCAAGTTCTATTCAAGAGGTCAACGCTAACCGATGGCCGGGATTGAACCTCAAAAACGTGATCACTTGAACGACTAACCAACCAAGTTCTTCCACTTTTAAGAGCATTTACTAATGTTGAATCCATCTCCGGACAGAGAAAAGTATTCCATTTCTTAGCTTGTTCTCTCATTCTCGACATCAAATCCATGATCTTCAACCGAATTGAATCACTCATCTTTGTAGTGGGCAAATGGCGAGCTTGACGGATCCATGAATTGAAAGACTATGCCACATTCGAGTGCATTTCATCGTATTTTTGCCCTTTAAAATATGCATTAGTCCACTTGTCATAGGGCAAATTGGATAGAAACCCACAAACGATCCCTTTTCCTTCATCTTGTAATTCTTTCAAGCACCGATTAAAACATCCCACTGTCGGAGCGTAAGCACACAAAGAAAACAAAAAAACTATTCTACTCCTGAAAGTATTGCTGAAACTTGGACCAAAGAACCTATCCCTCAAATTGGCCTTCAAGTGTTGGAGACAAAAATAGTGGTAAGCAGTAGGTAAAACCTTGGGTAAAGCTTCCAAAGTCCAGCGTTCCGATCAGATATGAAAGTAATTGGTCTTTCATTCAACAATATATTCGACAAATGCATAAAAAACCATTCCCAATTGTCTGTAGTCTCTGTATCGACAATTGCCATTGCAAACGGGAAAAACCCTAAAAAATAACATTTTACAATTAGTAAGTATTTTAAACGAAAAGGACAAATAAAGTAGATTTTTACTCTGAATAACAATAACATGTTAATCTGAGAATAAGTAACTTGTTACTTTGGAATAAACTATAGTAATATCTACCTTGATCCCCATCCTTCGCTGTAGCTGTTAACAAGGTGCCCTTATATTTCCCCTTCAGAAAAGTTCCATCGATAAACAATAGAGGACGACAATGCCTAAACTCTTGAATGGAAGCATTAAATACAACAAAAAACCTCTTGAACCGTCCACTTTGATGGTTATAATCAAGACGCAAATAGCTACCAGGATTTGTGCTCATCACAATATCCATATACCATCGAATCTCATCATAAGACATAGAGAAATCTCCAAAAGTAGTAGTCCTAGCTTTCTCAACTCCCAACCAAGCGTGATTGTACGCAATGGTGAGCCCGTATTGATTTGTAAATTGACGCACAACATCAATTGGACGAGTTTGGGGATTCCCACGAACTTCATTAACAATCAAACTTGCAACCAAATTTGAACTCATCCTTGAGTTTTTAGAAGTACGAACTGCAGCTCCACAAGTATGCTCATCATGTAGAGTCCTAATGTAGAAAAAATTATTAGCACTTTCCAGAGATGCATGTACTCGCCATAAACAAGCTTTCGACTCCCGCATTGAACACACAGCAGTGACCCGACACTTCTCATTCTTCACATACACAAACTCAAATCCTATCTTAATGGCATATTTACATAATGCAGTCCGAAAATCCTTTGCACCTCCAATAAATCTTTGACCTACATGAGTAATTCCATTCACCCATCCACAAGACAACAAAGTCCTTTCTTCATGTTGACAAAACATAGGGAGTAAATCCATTTCATCATCAGTAATGTTGGATCCAGTAGCGTCCCCTGATTCTCCAACTCCATGTTTTTCATTTGAAATGCCCATTTCAGTAATAGTCACATCAACCCGGTCAACACCAAAGGGATAAACAAGCGACAACATATTCTGAAAATCAGAATCATCATCAATCATGCATTGCGAATGTCCAGGCAAACAGTACGATAACAGTATGCAACCACTATGGTCAAACTTCTTCAATTTACAACTTAAGAAATCAGTTAAATCCTTCAACGTGCAGTTTGATACAACCTTGAACTCAATGGTACGATCACCATACTTGCATAACAACATAAGAGGTGGAACCATTTTACAAATCTGCAATCAATTAACAGTAAAATTTTACTGTCCACTATCAAAGTAAAATTTTACTATCACTATCAAAGTAAAATTTTACTGTCACTACAATTTGTGTTTAGTTTGAATTGATAAAATTTTACAGTGGTTTAGTGTAACATTGTACTATATTTTAGAGTTGATTTTTACTATTTAGTTTGCCAAAGATTGGTAAATCATACAGTGTGTCACCAACACAATTTGAAACATAAATCTAAAAGTAAAATTTTACTCTGTATAAAAGTAAAATTTTACTCTGACATAGGAGTAAAATGTTACAAAAGGAATCTAAAAGTAAAATTTTATTCTGCATAAAAGTAAAATTTTACTCTGAATCTAAGAGTAAAATGTTGCGGCCTGAATTTTTCATTGTAAACAGAGCAATCGAACCAAAGTAAAATTTTACTCTGATACAGGAGTAAAATATTACAAAAGGAATCTAAAAGTAAAATTTTATTCTGCAAAAAAGTAAAATTTTACTCTGCATAAGAGTAAAATTTTACTCTGAATTTAAGAGTAAAAATGTTGCGGCCTGAATTTGAAAGTAAAATTTTACTCTGTATAAATGTAAAATTTTACTCTCATTGTAAACAGAGCCATCAAGCAGAGTAAAATTTTACTCTGATATAGGAGTAAAATGTTACAAAAGGAATCTAAAAGTACATAAAAGTAAAATTTTACTCTGAATCTAAGAGTAAAATGTTGCGGCCTGAATTTGAAAGTGAAATTTTACTCTGTATAAAAGTAAAATTTTACTCTGCATAAAAGTAAAATTTTACTCTCATTGTAAACAGAGGATTCGGACCAAAGTAAAATTTTACTCTCATTCTCTGAAACAAAAGGCACAGCAATAGAACCAGAGTAAAATTTTACTCTGATTCTGTCAAACGAAATCAGATCAAACACAACAAAAATAAATCAAACAAACAAAAATAAAAAAAATTAATTACAAATCAACATACCTAATTGAGAAGAAAAACCTCTACAACTCGATCAACAATCACAAATCTCAATGAAACTTTCGTTTAATTGAGAGTGTTGATCATCGGCCACCAAGTAAGAGATGTTCGGCTGCGAGATTGTCTATTGTTGAACAAGTGAGAGATGTTCGGCTGCGAGATCTTCAGATTTGGAGATCGTCTTCATCGATTTTGTGAAGTATGATCGATTTGGAGATCGTCTTCATCGTCTTCATCGGCTACGAGCTCAGATTTCAAAATTTTCATACGTATGATACTATATATATAAGGGCAATATTGTGATAAAAAAAAATAGAAATTATAAAATGTCCTTATTAAGGTAAGCATTTCTTACTCAGGGACTTTTTGAAAGAAAATTAATTGGGTTATCCTTTACCCTAATAAAAAGGCCCAAAAAGGTGGTTCCACCAAAAATTCATTTTCTTAAACCATAAAAAAATAAGGATGTTACAAATTGATAAAATAATTTTCCTATTATAAATGTAAACGGACATTGGAGATAGAATTAAATTGATTCAAATAAAATTTTTTAAAGACTAATATACTTAAAATTGTCTTTTATCCCATTTGTTATTATTTTGAAATATAATATAAAATAAAATGAATTTTCAATATTTGGTTAGCAATCCCACTCCGGTGGTAAGTCCATTGCCGATGTTTTGATCCGCTGTTCGCGACTTGTCCCTCTTCTTCTCTCTCCACGTAACTCGTTAATTTCCAATTGATTTTGATACTAATTCCTAAACCAACCCATGAGAAACGCATAATTTTTTTTGATTAATTGTTCATCAACCAAATTTGTTTAACTCGAATTTGTCCGAATGTGTTTCTTTTTTGGTAGAGACTCATTCAAACAAATTTGGATTAAATAAATTGGGTAGATATGATGGTGCTGAATTTTTGGTTACATATGTACCTAGTTATCCATTTTTCAGTTCAAGTTACACATTTTAATCACAAATGCTAGGTAATTTTTTTTATTTGTATAGCTATGATAATTTGTGATTTAAAAATAAAGTTATATATTTTGTAATAATGTTATATACTTTTGTGGTGATGTGACGATATGTAAATGTAAATTTTTAACAATAGTCCAACATTCAATGCGACACAATTCAAAGGTGGTGTTCTTTTACAATTATACAAATAATTAATTTTCAAAATTTATGTCAATTTGAAGGACAAGTTAATTCATAACATTCACATAAATATATTTAATTAATTAAAACTTAAATTGTAGAATGTATTTATAGAGCAGATCAAGTAACAAATTAATTCAAGATTTTATATAAAATTTTATAAAAACTGCACATATATTTTGAGTGTTCTTAAATTTCAATGTCGATTAAGTTCAACATATATTTTATAAAAAACTTTATTAAGATTCAATGTCGATTTCTCAATCCATTCAATGATCCGAACGAAATCTTCTTTAATTAAGATGTGAAACCTCAAAGTGCATAAATTTCGTGCATGTATATGTAATACATCAGCAATGCTAGGTATCATGAAAAATCTTTCATGAAAATAATCATGAAAGCTTTGTGACCATTGGATTACACTTAGAATAAAACACCACACACTAATCAAGGTAATTTAAGAATCATAACTCTTTCATGATCATTTTCATGAAAGAATTTTCATGATTCCTAACTTTTCTCGTAATACATTGGTATGTGACTCAAAGGTTCCATAGTTCATTTTAAAGAATTTGAAACAACATTGCTATGTTTGCAGAAACAGAAACTCGTAAACCCAAATCATCCAAGCCTTCAGCCAAAAACAAACACACACATAGGCCAATCGTAGATAATAGAAGTAGAGAATAAATCAAAAGATATAAGTATATAGTCTACTAAGAAAAGCATAATTGACGCAGCAAAACAAATCACACGAGACTAGATATCGTTTTAACAGACGAACAAAATCCTTGAATCCACAAAAAAGAAAATAAATTTCAAGAACTAAATTATATTGCATAAAAGATGATTTGCCCTAGGGCATACATGCATATTTATAATAAACTGAACCTTAATTAAATAAGAAAACAAGGAATTAGGATAATTCCTTGCTAGACACGAAAATAAACAAAAATTACCAAAAATGGAGAATATGAGTTAAGCCCAAATTTGCATCCTAGGAAACAATAGAAACACGCCAAAATAGACCGCGCTAAAAACGGACTTTCCAAAATAAAATTATTCCCAAAACGAAACTTTCCTAAAACGGCAAAATTGGTAATTTGAAGCCCTAAACAAAGGAATTTGGCTAAAACGCCGTTTCTGATCAGACTACCAAATTTGAGACAATTCCGAGCTCATTCCAAAAGTGTTGCTATTGCTCTCAATTTGGTATCTTTCTTGCCTTTTGCCGGTCCAATTGTTCCAAGAAGTCTTCGGCTGCGTGTTCTACATCAATAATTGAGATCAGGAGTTCATGGTATTCAACCAACAAGATGATTTATTCTTCTTACCTACTGGTACCTGCTTCAAATCTGATTTCACCCAGCCTCAGCACCTCCCCAGGTGGAAATGACAAGAGCTCTGGGCAATCCACCTTCTCTAAGTACACCAAGCTTGGAAACATTGTGGTCAGTGCTTGCCAGTGCATCTTTAGTGCTCTCAAGAACTTAAGACATAAAATCTTGACTGCCCATTCCGGTGGACCATATTCCTCCTGTTGTAGAATCTGCAAATCTGAAAGCGATCCTCCCCTAATGTAGAGTTTCTTTAGGCTTTTGAGTTCCCAGGGTTTCATCCAACTAGGCATCCTCGATAAAGGCCAACATCTCAGGTCCACTTTCTCTAAGCTAGCAGGAAGTGATCGAGATGTCACACTTCTAGTACTCGATGGTAAGGCTGTGTACATCTGAATTGTATGACTCTCTCCAGACTTTGCACTGGAAGGAGCCTCTTGTGCTGTCAGGACTGCCCTATTGTGCTTCTTTGCGTTTGCCAATATCTTATGCACAACACCCTTTCCCAATTTGGGTTCGGAAGAAACTATAGTCCATGATATTGTCAGTATGCGCAATGCTTCGAACTTTGACAAGCAGTTCAGTTCTGCCTTTTCACCAGTAGTCTCTCTGTCTGCATAGAGGCTGAGTTTCCTCAACTTGTTAAGTTTTTCCAAATCACCAAGTGTGCACTGACCTTTAGTCCTTGGGCCACCAATGACGAAACCCTTAAGGACTTGGAGATTGGAGAGCGAGGCGAGTCCCTTGGGCATGCTGTCTATCAAGTGACACCCAGACATATCCAAGTGTGTCAGCTTGGTGAGTGAGCCTATCTCATTGGGTAGCTTCTCTAAATTCCAGCAGGCTTTCAGGTCCAGGATCAACAGATCGCTGTTGAGCTTGCAAATGGAACCTGGAAGCTCTGTGATTCCCGAGATCCCATTGAGGCTTAAACACTTGAGAAGTCTCGTGTCGCTTAAGCCTTCTAGGAATGTTGCATCTGCTGCTTCGATGATATTGTCTCCAGAGCAACTCCAATTTCCCAGATGAAGAACAACAATGTTCTTCATCTTCGAAAACAGCTCGCTTGGAAAGTCTAGGTAACTCACATGGACATTGAACAACACTTTCAAGTTCTCATGATTTGCGTACGTGGATAGTTGCGGCAAAGATCCTTCTTTTAGCAAGCATGCTCTGCAAGACCTGGTGAAGTTGATAGTGGGGTTATCGTCAGAATCAAAATCAGAGAAGTCAGCATTCTGGGCAAGTGTAATCAACGCTGAACGAATAAGTGGATTTATCTTGCAAGATTTGAAGTCCCCAATGTTCTTTTCTTCAACAGGTTCAATGAAGCGTTTTGTAATTAACTCTTCAAATAACCCATCAGCTGTAGTTGGGGAATCTATGAGTCCCTCTCCAATCCACAAGTAAGTCTGGACCTTCTTCCTGATGAGAGAACTTTCCGGGAAGATCGAGAAATACAACAAACACTGTCGCTGTTCCAAATTTAAGCTATCATAACGTGCTTGGAAATCAATAAAGAAGGCAGTGTTGGAGAAATTTTCACTCAATCTTGGTTTTGGGATTTCATTACGGGGTATTGAAAGGTTGGAGTTGGAGGTGGAGTCGGGGGAGAAGGGGCTAGAATTGGAAGATTGAGCTGAGAAAGTATGGACTTTCAAATCTGAGACCATCTTGTCAATATCAGAGAGTTCGTTCTGTAAAACCTCAGATGGTTTTGTTCTTTCAGCACTGCAGAAACCTTCCCAGTCGTAGAGAATTAAGCTTTTCGTAAGCTTGTTACAACGATCTTCCCATTCTTTGAGTCTCTTGAAGGTTCCATTGATGTCAACAAGATCTCCCTGGATTTTGTCAAACAGCTGTTGCACAGGAGCGATATCTTTGTGGCTGTTGTGCTTGCCTTTGGACAGACTATTGAGCAAAGCTGGGATAATCACATCATTGATGCTTTTGAATGGTATGATCTGATCAGTTTTCATGAAGGAAAGGAATTCAAGAGATGTGACTAAGTCTGAATCAGAAAGTGAGAGTCCTTGAGGTTGGTGAATTTCCTCAGTGGAAGGTGCTGAAGAAGATGCCATTGATTTGATCTGAGTTAAGAAAAGGTCCAGTAAAGTCGAAACTTCGAAAGAGGAAATACAAGAGAGGTTCGGAAATGCTACAAGAAACTAAGATGGATTAGAAATGGATTCATTTCTATTTCCCAGCAGCACTATAAGTAGTGATGAAAGTCAAGTCTACAGCTCCAACAAAAGGAAAAAAACAAAAAAAACAAAAAAAAAAAAAAGGAGAGAAGAAAAGCCAATTAGGCCAAATCAATTATGCCTAACTACTATCCCAGCCCAACACAATAGATTAGAGAGAGAGAGAGAGAGAGAGAGAGAGAGAGTTATTCCCAGGTAGGTTAAATGACAACTATATTTATGTAGATTTTCTCAAGTCATCAATTAAAATAATCTGCTCAACATTTTTATTTACTTTTTTATTTATTTGGGTGTCCACCAATCAATTCAAGTAATGTTAATCTTCTCAGCATTCATGCACATTACATATGTACACATAAAAGTAGAAGATGTAATACTATTCTTTTGACTATTATTATAAGGAAAATTTAGGAGCCCAGATTTATGGTCCTACAATTTGTCTAGAATCAGTCTGTATGGTGAAGATGAAATTGATGCATGAATAAAATGAATTTGAACTAATTCTGGATTTATAGTCCCTTTGTTATTCTGTCAATAGCTATTATTGATACAATTGTATAGTTTCACTTTCCTAAGCTTAATTTTAAAATCTATTTATAATAAGATCCACTTCAATAATACCGTGAATGTGATAAGTCGCATCATTGAGTAATTTTTTATTTTATTTTTTTGATAAAACTTGTTATCGTTTGTTCTGTAGATGCTAACATGGCGCACTAAGCAGAAGTACGATGTTAATATATAATATCATTATAGCCATCCCACACTACATATTTTAATATTGGGTAAATTGTACTTTGCATCTCTACATTTTGCACCAAATCTCATTTTAACTCTTATACATGAAATTATAACAGTCAATGCATTATTGGTAAAATTTCACTTTGGTCCCTCCATAAGAAATCGTGACAGTCAACCCCCTATACTTTTACTCAAATACTATTTTAGTTCCTACACAAGTGTCAATGTCTCTCTTTCGTTATTTCATTTTAAAATTTTTTACAAAATTGAGTCACGTAACAAAAATATGACTACGAAATGAGTGTAAAAGAGGAAAATTATTCATGTTTTCTACCAATACACTTCGTCATGCGTGATAAGTGTTGGACAATCTTCACTGTATTTAAATAGATTAAATTCTGTTGTGTACAAAACAACAACAGGAATATAAAGAAATAAAGAAAAAGAGAGAATTTGTTTGATTACAAAAATCAAACTCGAAATGATAATAAATAAATAAAACTACAGATTTTATTTTGTTACAAAAACAAAAATAAAATCTGATAAAATAAACATAAAAACAGAATTAAATTAAACAACTTACTTGGTTAATTTATTTGAAAAACTTTTCTGATCAAGTCCAGTGTTTAACACTGTGTCCTTAAGACAGATTCGTCCTCTCCACGGTGCTTTCAGAATTTGGACGTCTATCTCCCAGGATGAAATGATCTTACCACAAACAATAGAAGCACTACAAATTGTTTGCCTTATGAACACACTAAGTGTTTACACTCTTTTTTTTTAAAATAAAATGCGGCAAGATGAAGAATATTATTAGCAGAGGTGAAATACGAATTTTCTAAATGGAAAACATCAAATGAGGGTGGTCCTATTTATAGATGTGAAGGTGGCTCCTCATTTTGAATTAAACAGGTATGTAGCTCTTGGTTTTGAATTGAACAGGTATCATACCTGTTGGGTTTTGAATTCAAACAGATAGCAAAACGGGAAGGGCTCTGTTTGGATGAGCAATAAATCCAAATCCGTTTAATTCTGTTTGAAAACGGGAAAGGCCCTGTTTGGATGAACAGAAAATCCAAACCAATTTAATTTGAATTATGGAT